GCCCCGTCAGGCGTGTATGTGAGGCAATCAATTGACGTGTGTCTCTCACATCAATGTTTCTCTCTCTCTCTCTCTCTCCTTCCCTCTCTCCCTCCTCCCTTCCACTCTTTCTAAAATCAATGGGAAAAATATCCTCTGGTCAGAATTAACAACAAGAAAAGAATATCAGTCCTTGCCACATCTTCCCCGGCGAACTCCTATTCATCCTTCAGAACCCTGTCCAGTTATCACTTCAGCAAGAAAGGCTTCCTTGACTGCCACACACACCCACAGCGAAGCTGGAATAAAGGCCTCCTCTGGGGACACTGCCCTGTGCCACCGCCGTTGGCGTACATGTCACTGTGAATTGGGACTGTGGGTCCCAGCAGGGTCTGTTTCCCCAACTGTACTCTTTTGAGGGCAGAGGGTGAGGCACCAATTAGGTCTCAGGACCCATTTATTCAATGAATAAATCAGCACTAGGTGAGTAAATGTACCTCCCTGACATGCTTCCCTCTCACCTACGCCCCTCCCACAGCTACCTGCCTTACCTCCCATTTCCCGGGAATTTGACCTCCTTCCCTGTCCTACAAATTCATCAGAGGAGGGCGCAGGAAGACAAGGGAGAGGATCCGGATACAACACACAGGGGATCTTAGCTTACGAAGCCCCAGTGGAGAGTCCTGTTTCGTTTTTGGGCTCCCCAACCCAGAGAATAAATACTAGTCCAGTCCCCCCAAAAAGCCCGCTCAGTGAAAGGCACAGTAAGGGCCTTATGGGCAGGCAGGGGCTGGGTTCTCAGCTGCCCGGCTCCCCCCTGGAGAGGCTCCAAGACCCGGATTCCTGGCTCCACCCAGGACTGACTGAGCAGGCCGTACAGGGTGGGAGCCCCCACAGGAATCTGGGAACCACTTGCTATGGTTTGGAGAGAGGGAGCGGCCTCCTTTGCAGCCAGAGAAGGAGGAAGGAGCCACTGGGCCCAGCAAGTAGGGTGGAGACTTGGTTTCGGTCTCACCTGCTGCTCCAGGCTTCTGGGGGCGAGGGGGGGAGTCTGGGGGTGCCTGCTCTGGGACAGTCTCCTCCCTCAGACCCAGGCCCCAGCCCCTCCTCCCTCAGACCCAGGAGTCCAGGCCCTGACTCCCACCAATTTCCTCTATGAGGACAGTTTCTCCACCTGCACGTAAAGAAAGGGACCTGGGCTCAGCTAAATGTGTGTTAGTGTCACAGCCTGGGCACTGTGATCTCGGGCTACTGGCCCCCTACTTTGAGCCTCTATCTGCTCCTCTGTCCGTGGGGTGCCGATCCCACTCAGCCTGCCTCACAGAAGGTAAAGGCCCTGCTCCTTCCCTCAGACCCCAACCCAGGCAAGGCCGAGCTCAGAAATCATCTGTGGCGTGGCTGTGACAGGGACACGAGGTGGCAGAAGCTGCAGAGGGGCTCTGATCCCTCCGCCCGCCGGCAGCACCTAGGGGTGCTCAGCCGAGCACAGCGCCCACTCCTCGGCCCTCCCCTCCGAGGCTCAGCAAGCGCCCCAGCCTGGAACACTCCTCCCTCATCCTCTAGGCCACCTTGAGCTGCCAAACTGGCCCTTCAGGTTCAGCGCTGGCCGCCCCTCCTCCTCCAGGAAGCCTGCCCTGCCCCTCTCAGCAGCTCTTCTGGGCTTGCGCCGGGTCCTTTGCATCCTGCGGAAAGAAAGACCATCAGCTCTGTCACCGTAACACTCATCTAGTTTCCTCTTTGCCAGTTACTGTGCTAGGAGCTCTCCAGAATCTCATTTAATCCTTCCGACTCGGTGAGGCACAGAGAGGTTAAGTCATTTGCCCAGGGTCACACAGCCGTAAAGGGGCCAGGTCAGGGTGGGACGGAAGGTGTACATCGCACAGCCCGGGGCCCGCCGTCTCCGGCATGTGTCAGCTGTGTGGCTGTAGACAAGACTTCACTTGGAGGAGCCTCAGTTTCCTCATGTGTAGATGGGGTTCCTAGGACCCATTTCCTAGATCGTTGCGGGGATCACCCACACACACGTAATGTACTCAGAAGGGCCTTAAGCACGCAGTAAGTCCGACCAGCCCTGGCGGGTGGCGCAGTTGGCTCGGTATCACCGGGGCACCGAAAGGCTGTGGGTTCCCTTCCCAGTCAAGGCACGTGCCTGGGTTGCGGGCTCAATCCCTGATCGGGGTGCATGCAAGAGGCAGGCAATCAGTGCTTTTCTCTCACATCGAGGTTCCTCTTTCTCCCTCTCCCTACCTCTTTCTCTAAAAATCAATTTTTAAAAAATGAACTTATAAGCTATCTGTATAAAGAAAAAAAGTATGACCAAAATTATGAAATGGCAGACCCAGGACTCGGACCCGCACCATGGGCTCTTTGCCACCACCCCCCCATGTGATTGTCTCTCCCTCGCTCTGATCTCCCACCCCCTTCCATCTAGGGCAGGGTGTGTCCCCCATTTGCCGTCTCATCAGTGGAGGCTGCGGGGCCAACGTGTGTTCAAAGAAACAATGAAATAATAAGGCAATGAAAGCACCAAATGCAAAAAGCTCCCCAATTCAATGTCTTACTTGCTCCGCGCTGGACCCCAATCTCCATGCCGGACCCCAGTGAGTGGGGGATGGAATGTACAAAAGCCTTTGCCCCCGTGAAGCTCACATGCCAACGGCCGAGACGTTAATAAACGAAACAAACAGGTAATAGAGTGTTAGAAGGTGATAAACGCTGGAAGAAAAATTAAGTACGGAGCAAGGAAGAGATGGCGAAGGAGGGGAGGGTAAGAGGTGCTATGGTTTTAGTATTTTATTTTATTGATTGATTTTAGAGACAGAGGGAGAGAAAGAGAGAGAGTGAGAGAGGGAGGGAGGGAGAGAGAAACATCTATTTTTTGTTCCCCTTATTTACGCATCATTGGTTTTTCCTGCATGTGCCCCACCAGGGTTCGAACCTGCAACCTTCTAACCAACTGAGCTACCCGGCCAGGGTGAGGTGCTGTGATTTTAAACAGGCTGTCCAGGGGGCCTCTCTGAGAAGGTGGCATTCTAGCAGGACCTGAAGGAGGTGAGGCGAGCCAAGGGAACAGTATTCCAGGAAGCGAGAACAGCAAGTGCAAAGGCCCTGAGGCAGGATGGGGTCTGGGCGCTGGAGGAGCAGCAGGGAGGCGGGGGTGCTGGAACAGA